TATACACACACACACATACACACATATATATATATACACACACACACACACATACACATATATATACACACACACACACACACACACACACATACATAAATACACACACACACACACACACACACATAAATATATACACACACACACACACACACACATATAAATATATACACACACACACACACACACACACACATATATATATATATATATATATATATATAGCACCGTGTGTATATCAAACATGAGGATGTATGCTATCACAGAAAGGCTATATTATTTAAAGGGCAACTTTTTTGCCCAATAATTCTACTTGTTGCAGTTGCAAATAATTCTATTTGCTGACATAAATGAAGAGAGAGGAAGGTTTACTTGTGCTCTTCTCTTATATTTTAAAGTTAACATTATTGATTTTGCAGCCTGCTATTGATGATTAATATAGTTTTTTTTTTTTTTTTTTGCTAACTGTAATTGCATTCATCTGTGTGGAGTTACTTGAACTCCTTTCTGATCAATTTATGTGTTCATGTCATTTTCATTATGTTTTATTATGTCCAGTCGTGTGTGAGATTTACATTATTTCAGCTTACATGAGTGGCACACTGTTTACTGCTTGTTATCGCTGTTTGTTATGGTCCGTGGTTGTTATCGCTGTTTGTTATGGTCCGTGGTTGTTATCGCTGTTTGTTCGGAGGCAAAAGCGTGAAGCGCGAGTGATTGACGGGTGAAAACCCCGCCCCCTTCTCTTCTCTTGCAGCGGTGCGTGAAGCGACTCTGCCGCGAGGAGAGCGTTTCCAACACAGAAGTTTCTTGTGAGTGAACTTCTCTTATTCTCAGAGGACACACTGAAACAAAACTTCATAAAATACTTATTGCATGTGCAAAATTATATTTTCATCTCTCGTTTAATTGTTTATATTTATCCTTATCTCTCCTTCCCCTTCGAAGTGGACGAACCGCTCACCGGATTCTCAAATGAATAGGTTTGAAGCCATTAACAGAGGCTTTCTGTGAAGACGCCGAGGAAACATTACCTGCGTTTTTCTCAAAGCTTTGCAAAATGAAGCTTTGGTAAGTATATTTATATCTAGAGATGTCATTTTATTACGCGTGCTTACAAATCCAGACGCTTGGATGTTAAATAGTGAACTGTCAGTTGTAGTCACCGAGTTAAATAAAGCGCTTTATTTCTCTCGAGCACATTTAATGGTTTTGTTAATTTCCCTTCACAGGAGTTTTGTGTTACCTGTTGTCTTGTATGCGTTGTCTGCACAAGGGGTAAGTCTGCTATCAGTATTAAAACACATATCAGTATTTCCCCTTGAGGTTTATGTCGCCAGTATGGGTTTGATCATTTGTTATTTAACTGAAACTCTAACTCTTCTTTGTAACATATATCTGGCTCTTCATGTTTGGGTTCACTTTTGCAAACACATTTGGATGTTTTTATAAGACACTTCTTGTAAAAAACACTTGACAAATTACAACCTGTGAAGCTTTGTGTAAATTTTGTGTGCCTTGTTGAACTTGTCAGATGTCAAGAGCTTACAATGGTTAGTTACCTTAAAAATTCATTCGTTTTTCGTCGTATTCTCTTGTTTGATTTGTGAAGTGCCTCAGTCCTCTATCACCCAACTGACAAAACACTCCTCCTCCTAGTTAATATGCAAAGTACCCTGTTTCTCAGCCACACCCATTTACCTTATTGCTACAATATTGACACTTGGTTTTCTATAAGTACGTCATTCAAATTTTTATTCTTCATCTGTTTTATTTTTTAAAGGGGTTATATGATGCGATTTCAATTGTTCCTTTCTCTTTGGAGTGTTACAAGCTCTTGGTGCATAAAGAAGATCTGTAAAGTTGCAAAGACTAAAGTCTCAAATCCAGAGAGATATTCTCTAGAAAAGTTAAGAGTCAACCACGCCTACCTAAAACGGCTCGTTCTAACACGCCTCCACATATCTACATCACTATGTGGGAAGATTTGCATAACGCCGCCCAAATGTTCACGCAAAGAAAGAAGGCGAAACTTTTATTATCGATGTAGTATTGTTGTTGCCGCCGCCACCATGTCGTGAAGGTGCTGTGTTTCGTTGTGAAAGCGAATCTACTTTGGTTGGCCTTCCAAAAGAGGACGATATCCGCTTCGTCATGCCTGGAGTTGATACGTGCTGACTTCGCGCTGTGGATCGCCGGATCGGCTTTCACCGTGGACGAAGCGGAGTCCGGCCCGGGGTCGTCACATGTGGTTGCTGCAAGCCCGCCGGATGCTCCTTCGTCGAATCCATTCTAGGCCTCCGGCCTCCGCTCACTCAAGGCTGCCGTGTGTGACGCTGTTTCGTTGTGAAAGCGTAACGAGTTGATACGTGCTGACTTCGCGCTGTGGATCGCCGGATCGGCTTTCACCGTGGACGAAGCGGAGTCCGGCCCGGGGTCGTCACATGTGGTTGCTGCAAGCCCGCCGGACGCTCCTTCGTCGAATCCATTCTAGGCCTCCGGCCTCCGCTCACTCTAGGCCGCGGCTCACTCAAGGCTGCCGTGTGTGACGCTGTTTCGTTGTGAAAGCATAACTACATTGTTTGGCCTTCCAAAAGAGGACACGATTAGAAATCAGTGGTTAAGTTGTATTTACAACACTGTTCCAGAACAGTTTAACCCAAATATTCAGATGTGTCCAGCGCATTTTATGGAGAACTGTTTCCTGATCCTGGGAGAGTAGACTACAATGCCGGCTGTTCTGACTCACAGACTGTAAGTACGTTTTTTATATTTAAAGAATTTACTGACGATTCAATCGCGAGTTTTTTGGGCAGTGTAGAGTAGCACTTGTTGTTTGTCATTTCTCCGATCACAAATGCAGACATGGTTTTATGTAACGCTCCGGCCGGACAGGGCATCACAATATGGTAAGGGCCGTAACATTTCCATCACACGCTTGAGGTATTCGGCCAATCACAATGCACTGGATAGCTGGCCAATCAGAGCAGACCTTGCTTTTCAGACCGATGAGCTTTGTAAAAATCGACACGTTTCAGAAAGGCGGGGCATAGAGGAGAAACAATAATGTACAGTGTGTGGAAAATAATGTTTTTTGAACCTTAAACCGCATAAACACATTTCATTACACCAAATACACAAAATAATGCTATTTTTAGCAGCATCATATGACCCCTTTAACAAGAATTTGCCTGCACTTTTAGTATACATCAATTATGATCCATTTATCATCTTTGGCTGATGTTGAAGCAATTATAGCAGTATACCTTTTGAAATCTTTTTTTTTTTTTTTTAAGTAGCTTCAGCCAAATATTTAAAGATTAGTAGCGTCATTAATTTTAAATTAAGGTTTAATTGATTCATATGAGGTGAGTGTGAAGCCTTATATAGGTGAATTATGAAAAGCTGTCTCTCTTGTTGGCTTTATTTGAAAGTAAGTTGTGATTTTACTGTTCTAGATGTCTGTAGAAGTTAAGGAGTGGCCCTGGGTGTGGGAAATAGAAACAGGGTCTTGCATTTAATTTTAGCAGTTAATGGGAGCAATTGTAGAGAGCATGACATGAGAATATATAGCGGTTCAACACTTATCGAGTGGGAGCATTTTGAATGGGCTCAAGCAGACGTGAGGCTAATGCAGGTGGGATGGTGAGTAGTGACAGTATAGACTAGCCATGAAATAATTAGAGCCTGCAATAACAAACAGCTTAGCAGAGTAGTAATTCATGGAGGGCTGGATTTTTCTCATGTTCCTTGTGTAGCATGAAGCAAGACGAGAGTTGCTTCAATGTGGTCCACAATGGTGAATGGTACGTTTTGAATGAGAATCAGGCTATACATTTTATTTCTAGGAATAAAATTTGTTATTGGGAGGTCTTGACTATGTTGAGGAGTTCATTTGTGTTGAAAAGAAACTTTTGTTTTTTTTGACCAAAAGAACACTTCCCAGAATGCCAGTACTTGTAAAAATAATCTGAATTGAAATTCAGTAAATTCTACTTCCACTAAATCCAGTTCAACTTCCTGTGTGGTGGCCAGTTTGAACTCACACTCATGAACTGAAAAGGAGCCAATTCTTAATTCTGCATTTTGCAATTTGCACACCCCTAATATGTAGTCATAAAATCAGAGACAGAATCAAGTCACATGTGTAGCAGGAGCTGCATTTAAAGTGCCAGTTAATACCAAGTGTAATCACTGTGAATGCAGAAACATTTGGTGGGAATGACACAGTTGATTGTTGTCATTATTCAGGACAGTCAGGGCTCCAGACTAACATTTGAGAGCAGTGAAACCAGTGCCACTAAGTTCTACAGATGGTGGCGTCAGAAGCAGGTTTGGTAGCACTTTTTAATTTCTTTAATTAAAAAGAAAGATAATTTAATCATACAATTATTATTGTTTTAAATTAATAGGTGCAGTTACTAATAAAATTACACGCTTATTTCTTGGTAATGCACATTTGATAGTAAAGCACTGAGCTTGAGTTGGGAAGCATACAAAATTTACTTTTATTAACAACACTATGTTTTATATAGAAAAAGAACATATTCTACTCTTATTAAATGTACCATTATTCTTCTATGGTATTATACGGAACTGACTGATAACTTCAGTGATTATAAAAGGAACACTCTTGATGTGTGATTCAGTCACAAATAGGGATGTAACGATTAACCGCGTGCTGGTTGAAAATCGTATAATGCATATCAGGGCTCCAGACTCATTCTTCCCACTGGTCGCTCTTTTGAAACTAACCTTCTCCGCTGGTCGCACGAGCACATGATTTGGTCGCAATATATATATTGCGCTACAACATGGGATTATTCAATGCATGCTGATGGACTTTTATCATAGTTTAAAGTTATATGGAAACGAAAGTTGTTAACATTCAACCCATTCTTTTTCATCAGGAGTATTATTTGTGATTTGAATTTTGTGAATGGGAATTTCTCTTTTGCTGTGTTAAGCCGCGGGCTTCGGATGAGATATGTTTTATGCATAGTTTCACAAAACTGAAGCCAAACCATTCTGCTTTTGCTTCAAATTTCGAAATTATACAATGTAATTTAGATTAAAAACTGCTCATGTTGCATGTATGCAGCGTCTTTGTTTGGATCAAGATTAAAATGCAGTGGTTGCCTCTAATTTTAAATGGAAAGAGCACAGACAAAGCCTTAGTGTGTTTATATGAAGAGATTTATTTTATTTGTGTTACTTATTTATTTGATTTTAGGGCTTGTTTTAAAATTTAGTTTTGTTATTTACATTTACATTATATTTAAATTTTGTTATTTAGCAAAAGCTTTTATCCAAAGCGACTTACAAATGAGGACAATAGAAGCAATCAAAACCAACAAAAGAGCAATAATTTGTAGTTACTTACAAAAAGTGCTATATTAGTATATTATTATAGTGTTATATTTCAATTTCACAAAGAAACGTACAGTATTTTGTCCAAGCAATAATAAAAGGACACATTTAATTTATAATTTGTCTTAAATTTCATTTTGTTAGAAAAAAATCATGAATTGAATTGAATCGTGAAATCAAAATTGTGAATCGAACCGAATCATGAGTTGAGTGAATCGTTACATCCCTAGTCACAAATGGAAAAAAAGTTTGTTTTTCAAGGCACTTTGTGACTTTTCTTTTTTTGATTATTTGATAATATAAAATATAAAGCAAAAAGTAGAAATGAATGACTAATAAGCCAATAAGGGCTCCTTTGCGGCCATCTACTGGTCATAGTGATACTTTGATGGGTTTTTAAATTTTAATTAGTGTTTGTTTACCACAAAGTATATTTTGGTCATCCCATTAAAAAGAACATTTAAACTGGATAAATTTTAGAGCTTTAAAGTGCTTGAAATAGTTGTGTGAAATACTTGAAAGTCACTGAAAAGTGCTTGAATTTCTCTCTCAAAGGTTGTACAAACTCTAAAATGAGTAATGTAATAACATTCAACCATTTCTGCCACAAAACCATAGTTATCGTTACTACTTCTGGTTTTCTACATCAGCACTGTTTGATCTGCTTATAACAGAGAATTTTGTGCAGAATTCAAACGCTTCTTTCTGGATCTTGCAGCGCGGTGCAGTAACAGTGTCACGAGATCAAAACTGGTTCCCAAGTAATCCTGTTCTGAGCTTTTGCTTGCAGTTTGTTTGCACTGCGCTGCGCTCAATTATTGGTCCGAGGTGGTCCGCGCTGCTCAGCTCAAACGAATAGCGCGGTTTCGTTACACTTTTGTTTCGTTAGATGTTTCTCATATGCAACA